TTTGATAACGTTTTATTATTACTATTGTTTTAGAGGGCACCAAGAGGGGGGAAAAGAAAACTATTCTGGGAAAGCGAGGGTGGAAAGAAGGGGAGTCACAGGGTTTATAGGGCGAATTGCATTGCGCAGTTCTTAGCAATGTCACATGCGAATTCCACAGTAGTGGTGATAATTCTTATTTTGGGGCTTTTGTTGCTTGCCGGCACGTCGGATGGGCAACGGATGTCGTTACCGCGAGAAACATATCCGCGTCCTGCGAAGGACGGGGTCAATCCCGCCGCGATGTTTCTCCGCTGGGCGCAACTTGTAAATTCCTTCGTGGAGGCGCTTCTTAACGCAGCAGGGCCGGCGACCGTCGCTGATAAATTAAAACGCAACGCACCGACAGATATGGAGGGTTCAGAGCTAAGGGCGATTTCGATCTCGCCCAACTATTTAAAAGCACTCCAGAATGGAGACGTGAAGAGGGCCGTCGACCACGACGACGGATTGAAGTATTTACTGCCGCCAAAAAGAACATTACCGCCTCACTCGTGCTGGTCTGGCTACCTGGCGGTTCCTAACACCACCATCTTTACTTGCGGCAGCGACGGAAGCAAAACAGCCGATGAGTACAGTAATATGACTGATTATCAACGGGCAGGATGCCGGCACGATGAGAAGGTTGAAGCAGTCTGTCTCTGTCCGATCGGCACTGTGTGGGTGAAACGCAGGTTCGATAGAGAGTGGGTGTGTTACCCACGACTACTTCTTGTCTCAGCGCGGTTGGAGGACAAACACATTTGCCAAGATTCCCTCGGCGGATCGTTGGGGCTCCGCAGCAGCTACAACCCGAGTGACTTTTGCATCCACACCCAGCGGAAAGCAACGCTTCTCCTCAACATCAATGTGAGTTATCGATGGACGGAGAATGATGAACTTGCCGACATTCTTGCGGCAAAGAACAACCACCTTGTATTTGGGAAGCTGCAATACGATGAGACGTACATTACATTGCTTCGAGGCATTTCAGGCCTCCCCGACGTGTTATCCCGCTCCCCGACACTATTTCGTTTTGGTGTGACTCCTAACGCGTCGCATTTAGACGCATTTGGGGTAGTGGAAGGACACCCGTTGCAACGGGATGGTGCATTTGAGCACGTGGTGTACCCGTTTCGGGAAATGACACTGTTGTACCATGGACAAGTTGTTCAAAAGCTCTCCGATTCAGAGGTCATGAACACTTTTTTTAGTGGAGATAGAAACTTTACATTGCAACAAGTGACAAGGGATTTAAGTCGATTGAGTGATTCCTATATAACAAGCGGTATGATGTATATGGAGATTGGTTTTTATGGTACGGGTATTCCATTTGGAGCTCGTCATTCTCATTTATGGATTACGTTTAAAGGAACCTTACCAGTGAAAGGAAATTACAATTATGACCAGTCGCCGAGCCCAGCCATTATCGCTGCCATGACTTTTGGTGGTGCGGTACTTGTAATCACTATGGTAACAATTTTGTGTTATTTATGCCGGCGGCAGAAGGACATTGATGATCCGCTTCTGGCCAACGCTTTAG